TGATTTCAAACTGGTGACCCTTGAGCCGCATGCTGTCCTAAGTTTGTTTATTTTCAGTTTAAACTGAATAGAGTTATTTAATGATTAATTAAACATGGTAAATCTTTGAAAAAATATCAGTCTAAGAATTAAATATTTAGCTTTGAATTTAATTGTATCACAAAGTGGAACCAATATAAGGTTTTATATGTACAAAATTTTAAATTTCAGACAGAAAATAAATATAAATTTGAATTTAATTTTCTATTATTATTATCATTATTATTTACGTATGTTTGGATAAATATTTAATAAATAATAAAAAATTAAAAATTTATTTAAATATTTCTTTTTTGTTAATAAATTTGTTCCTTTCTCTACCCGAAAAACAATTCTGGCTCATAAGCTGTTTTCATATAACGCTAGCAAGCGAAATTTAAAAAAACAAATATTTAAAATATTTATTTTTTGTTAATAAGTTTGTTCATTCCTCCCCCCCCCCCCAAAAAAAAAAAAAAAAATCAAAATTTGGCCAAAAATATTTTCGGATAGATCATTCAGCCAGCAGTTTGACACCACTTTTCTATGCAATTCCAGGACAACATTTTAATAATTCTTGCTGTAACAAATAATTTTATTGTGTTTTTGTTACATAACGCTTTTTGTGTTGCATGATGCAGGTAAATTGTTTATTTATCATTTAATTGCCTAGCATTTATAGAATAACTAGTTGTTCTATGAAATAACTATTTAAAGTGTGGTATTATTAGTTTGCTACACATTTCAGTTGATTTAATTAGTTATTTAATGAAATAACTAAGCATTCTACGGATTAATCGAATTATACCCTTTAACAGTAGCATATTTTAACCATAGTACGTTAACGGTAGCTATATATAGGTATGTCTGTGGATATAAACGTCTGTTTGTCACACAGATACGTGCATAAATACATACATGTATGCATATATGCATACGTACATATATGCATGTAGAAAATAACGTTGTTTTTAAATTTATTTTATTTGTTTTATGTGTTGTTATGAACAAATTACATATTAATGTAAAACATTACGACATAATTATTGTTATAATATAACGCTAATGTTACAAAATATTTCTCCCACCTTCTTAGTGTGCCTTCGTGGTGTAGTGGTTCTGCACGCTTGGCCGGTATTTCCAGAGGTCCGTGGTTCGATTCCCGGAGAAGACGTTTGCTAATTTTTTATCTTGCCTGCTTCCAAAAAATACTTAATGTCTCTACGGTGGTGCCCGAACTAAAAGGGTGTTGGATGATGATTTCTCCTCACTCAGGATTTCGCGATTGGATCCCCTAAAATCCCCAGTCGTGCTTTAAAAGGGGAAGTATATAAGGTATTTGTCCCGCTTTCCTAGCGTGCTTTCATGGTGTAGTGGTTCTGCACCCGCTGGGCCGGTATCCCGTGGTTCGATTCCCGGCAAAGGCGATTGCTAATTTTTCATCCTGCCTGCTACCTAATGTCTCTACAATGTAATATAACAGTAATCGTAAAAACAGATTAGCTCAAGGTAATATTCTATGTTATCTATTTCTCTTCACAACTTTTAATAGTTCTAGTCGAAAAAAGCATATTCCGAAAACGAATATTATTCAGAATGTCATTTCAGCCTTTACAAATCCTAATTGATCAGCGTGAGAAATCTTACTTTAAGCTTAAAAAGAGTTCTGATTGAATTTCATGGCTAAAGGGAGTCAGGAGGTCTGTTTATTTCCAAAATATATATAGTACACAGAAATGCTACGAATTTTGTACTTAGATGGGTAATTTTAGTAGAATTATAGATAAAACTTTTGTATTTCTTTTGTAACATGAAAAATCTAAAGAGAAGCTAGGCTAAAAATGTAAAAATACAGAAGCAAGTACATTTAACACTGAATCCGTGGATATCGCCAAGCTGACAACGGTTTTGTTGACTTATTTTGTCACCAAATTCGGAAAAAAAATCGTAAAAAAAAAAAAAAAAAAAAAAAAAAAAATAAATATATATATTATATATATTATCTAATTGTCTACCCTTTGGCGACATTTTAGTCCGGTGCCTGTATCACCGTAATATGTATTGAAATTGAATAAATGTAACTAAGCGCTGTGTTAGCTGCAATCGTAATTCCACCCTCGTATTGTTTTCCAGTAATTCCGATTAGCAGAAAGTATTAGAAATTTCTCGGCGACCGGTTGAAAACTATTTAAGGCCGTAGAAAGAGCATCTCCTTTAAGTTGCTTAGTTATTGTTGTGTGATACTGTGAATACCTGTGTACGAGAATTTCTGTGGGAAATTCCCGAATTTTGAAGTATTTTTTAATTAAATAAATTTTATTAACCTATCATCGGACCTTTGCTCATTCAATCTATTAACGAACCCGTACGCGCGCAATTGTATTTTTAGCATGTTTTATTCTACAATGAATTTTTAATACTTCAAATTTAAATTCAAAATCATACTTTATTTTCTAACATAAAACATAACTTGGCTGTCGAAATTATATTAGCTGAAACTATAAAAATTTATTCAATGTTTTCATTCTAGAATTTCTTCTTTCTTTTAAAAACTCGGCTCTTCGTGGTTTCAGAAGTACTGCTTAGGATTATATGAAACTTTCGCAAATTTCATTTTGTGAAAAGTTGTTTCTTCTGCTTGAAGAATTCATAAAAACACGTGCTACAATCTTTGACTTCCTTTGCTATACAGCTATTTGAGATTATGTTTGATATTAAATACTATGGGTTTATTTATTTATTTGTCACGTAAATCTAATTCTTTAAGTTAACGCTAACAAGAGTTGCTTTAGATTACTTCCTCGATTTTTGCTGTTTTGGTAACCAGTCCCGCTGGGAAGAGAATTTTATTTTTATCTTGTATAGCGGCGCTGTTAAACGATGGAAAATTCGTGCTTCGAATGCAACAGAATTTCGATGTATGTTTCTTAAATGCTAAATGGAGAAACCCCAAGGGAATGGACGGATGTATGCACAAACCCACACTTATTATCTATATTCGAAATCTCTCTATGCGATTCCTTAAAAATATCCTTTTTTCATTTTCTAAAACAACAGATGGAAAAGAACAATACAAAAGAGACGAACCTTATTTTGTGTATTTTTGATAGTAAATAAAACGTCGTTCCCATTAATTTGTTCAAGATTTGATAGAAATATCAGTTCTGGTATTTATGTTTCCAAGCTCTGATAGTTACATGCAAACTGTATTGCTTCTGATCTAATTGTCCTTCCGTCATTACAAGTCAGTCACGGGCTATTCCGACTTTTTCTCTATGTTATTGTTAAACTACCAACCTGCTTATTCATTTACTAAAAGAGTATCAGAAATCAAAGGGACATAAGCCATAAGCGGATTATTTTCTTCTTCCGTTTCAGAAAATATACAAATACAACTGAAATCTTACCACTTTTTAACAGAATATGCAATGTATGCAGCACAACTACATTTGTTCTTAATATCTCAGTTTCTCAAGAAAATATCTCATTTGAGACTGTAACGTATTTTCTCCCTCCTTTCTGCATGCCTTGGAGGTGTAACGATAGCACGCTTGGCGCGTATTCGAGGGGTCCCTGCTCCAGCATCAAAATAAAACTAATGACTCTACAGTATGAACAACGATTAAGTTAACTTTTATTATAATATCATTAGTGTTTGAGTTTCTTCAGAACCTGTATTGTAACATTATTAGCAAATTTAAAGGTATTATTTGCCCACCAGCGGCCGAGCGGTAACGTCGCTGAACACTGGTAGTTCGGTCCGAGGTTCGAATCCCGCGAACGGGCTGGCTGCATGGGTGTTTTCGTGGTTTTCCCCATGTGTAACGTGTATACGAGTCAGTTTCCCTTAGAAAGTCCTCCACGAAGGCATCCCTCCCTTAAGGCAGATAGCCCTCGAGTGGTTTGCCGTAATCTAATAAACCAAACCAAACCAAACCTAAAGGTATTATTTTAATCTAAAACAATATACACATGGTTTCTTTAGCATATTATTTTGTCTTATTGAAGAAGATTCATATATTATTGTGAACTTCCCTTTACCGACAGTAATACCACCAAATGGAATTAACCGGTCCCAAGGCTAAAGTACGTCCTATCATGGTATGTAACCCTTACCCGGATCTGTTTCGACAAGACGACCTCATTGCGAGTATCGCCATAAATTTTGGAAGAACTGGATTTTAAAAAATAGTTTATTTATATTATCATAAAATAGTATTTTAATGGAACTAATTTAAAGCACATGAAGCAAATTATTTTTGAATGAAACTCGTTTTCTATTCAGTTAATGTAAAGAATATGCTACGTACTGTATTTAAGAATGAGAGTTCGATCCGGGCTCGATGCTGGGCAAACGAGTTGACTGTATAGTTAATTTTCGTTAGTTTCCCAGTGTGCAATCGCAAAACAAGCCAATTTCTTTTAGACCTTCACAAGTCATCATTCTTAGGCAGTTAGCTCTCATCTGCTTTGCCATACTCAGGAAACCTACCAAACTTTAAGACTATATGCATGTTCGTAACCTTAGTAGAGCAGGTCATATATGTCTCCATAGAGTGAAAAGAAGAAATTGTACATTGCCACGCATTCAAACTACGAAGAGAAACGCGTTCTGTAATTTTATGCAACTATTTATAAATAAATACACGTATTATCAGTGTCACGATGAGTTAACCTTTACTGAGAGATTAAACTAGTTTTAATATTTTGCATAAAGACAAAAATTATCAAATCACAAGGAGCTGATAAACATCAAACAGATATTAAAGTTTGTGAATATTCAAGTGATTCATGAATTATGTCACAAATAATGACGAGATGGAAATTCAGATAAGTGGTTTCTAGTATGATATGTTAGATAATGTTCACTGACAATACCCAATTTCGAGACGATATTTTTCGCGTGATATAATCTGATACCGAAATAATAACATGATAATATTTGCTTTCCTACGTGCGATTTTACATTCTATATATACTCTAAATTTTGTCAGTTTCTCATCATCAGCCTCACTTCGTAAGTTAAACAAGTGCTAGATAAATCCTGCTAGCGTTGTCGAATCACATGAAAGTAAGTAAAATATTATAGATAAAAACATTTTTGTGGCATATTTTTTTGTCACAATGCATTTCAAAAATTTTATTTATTTCGCTGCTAAGGAAAAATATTTTTCCCTTGCTTTTACCGCTTTACTGTAATAAAAAACTCATACTAATATTGAGTTATTAAATTACGTGCTATTTGGGAAGTTTAGTAGAAACCCATTATTTTTAATAATTAATCTAATTATTAAAATTCTCTAAATATTAAAAGTTTCATTAAAGAAGTGGTGCACTGCGCAAAAAAGGGGGAAAGGTTGGACATAAAAATGTCCCCTGTTCTACTGGGCGGACTGACGAAATTCAAATTGCTTTTTACTTGTCGCGAAAGCGTGACTTAGGATCTGCATTAGATTTATATATAGCACTGTTCTAACAGAGGTATTTTGACACAAAATCCAACTTTTACTGAAATAACATGCCAGTTGTTTTACATATTTCGATTCTACGACTGAAATTATGCCTAAATATTAAATTTTGTAAAATTTGGTGCGAAATTTACGGAGAAATTCAAAAATTTATCTCGGCATATATTTTTCAGTTTGCACCAAGAATAATGCACTTTGCGAAATTCTTAATTTATAGCAACCTAATTTTTCTTTCCTTTTTTGCATTGCAGACGAGCGGAAAAAAAAGGTCATCGTTCATACTTTCAAATAATTTTAACGAAGTGGGTAAACCACATTTGACGTTATTATCGTTTAAAAAAAGGATGTCAAATTTCAGACTGCGCCAATATGTAATTTCATGTATATCTTAGAAAATTTTGAAAAAAAGCTCTAATTTCTTGCAATTGTGTCTAGAAATACTACATCTACTTTAAGAGGATGGTAAAATGTTATAAGTTGTAATACAAAACGTGTTTCGAAAAATTTATAAAAAATATTTTAAAATACAAATTTAAAAAAATCATAAAAATGTATAAATTACATTTGGATTAAGCTTAAATTTCGAATTCTGGAAGAAGGAATTAAGTAAGTTTAAGGAAAAAGAAATATTAAGAAATATATATCCAATTCAATTAACATTAAGGAGCTAAAATTTTGAGAGCTGATTTTTACAAAACTTGGCAGTTTGACATAATTTGTGTCGGAGAATGGAAATATGGACAAAAAAATTTGACATGCCATTTCAGAAAAAGTCCGTTTTTGTGTCAAAATACCTATGTTAGAATAATGCTATATATAAATATAATATATATATCTTAAATTCCGTTTTCGAGACATGAAAAACGCAAGCTGAATTTCGTCAATCGGCCCAGTAGAACGAGAGATATAGAACTGTCCCCCCTTTTTTTTCCGCAGTGTATATTTTTTAATTCAGTTCGAAATAATGAAAAAACGAGATTCACTAATTTTGAATGAATGCGTTATTTCAAATTCGCTTTTTACCGAATTAGCAAATTTAAGCCCTTTAGATACGCTATTAATCCTTTTTTAAGGCAGTTGTTTTGCAAAAATGAATACTTTTAACGAAGATATCGAAAGTCAAAAGCTACCAGGCAATTGAATCTAATGCGATTTGACCTAAAATCATACTTACTTCGAGACCAAGAAAATATAAATTTAATCATAACTAGATTATTAAAAAATATCAGATTTAGTATATAATAAAATTGTATTACTGTAATGCAAATCAGTGTTTAAAAAAGCCTGTAACCATGCAAAGCTTACTCCCATAGGATTTATTTTAAAGTTTGATTGAATTAGCAGAATGAATGACACATTGATGATGTTTCTAAAAGTTATATTTTATTGTTCAATAATTAAAACTACAATTCCAAATTTAAAAAAAAATTATTCCTATTTCTGCTAATACTTTTTATGAAATTGTGACAGTTTTTCTGTTAACTAGTCCTCTCAAAGCTACAGATTTACTACAGGTTCACTGCTCAGTTCCAAAATATACTTTAAATCATTATGAAATATGGATAACTGAATAATTATTCAGAAATACTGTTAAATTATGCTTCATGTAAGCTCGAAGTTGACGATAAGAAATTTTTTTTCAGCTGAGATTTCTGATAGGCTTAATGATCTCAAAAGGAAAATTCTCATTATCATACATTCAATTACAAGTGAAAGGAATACCATTCATTGATATTCATATAAAACATATACATGTTTCATTCCATGAATATACATTATTCAGGAAACTTAACTAGATTTCATAATCTACTATCATTTTCAGATGATTAAATCAGTTTCTTGTTTTGCTATTCTTGCCATCGTTGTTCTGCAGAATGTAGAGGCAGCTACGATATTTGACCCTGAACTGGACACTCACTGGGAAAACTTTAAGGTAAATAAGGCACGAGTTTTCTTTAATATGTTTATTGAAATGCATCCATTTTAACAAAAAATAACCCTATAAAGAAGAATTAATAATTGAATTTCCACTATAACTATTTTTTATATGTCGTTTCTTTATTTAATTCAAAATTTATGCATAAGCTTTTAATAATATATTTTCTGAAATGCATTCATCTGAGAAAAATAATGCACAAAAAATATTAGCAACTATATTTTATTACTATTTTCATATTTCGTGCCTTTATTTAACTCATGTTATTATCTGTGAAAGTAATAACATGAGTGCAAAAAGTGTAAAGAGTAAAGTAATGTGCAAAAAGTTCTAATTTTTACACATTTAACTGTAAAACCCTTAGAGATATGGAGAAAACAGATAAATAGGAAACAAATGTAATATTTTAAAATTAAAATATGAAGTTTCTTCAAGCATTAGACGGGTATAAAAAATTAACTGTTTCTGAGGCAATTTTTGAGGAAGAAAAAAGGCTGGAAAGTTTTTGAGTTATTGACGTATTATTTCTAATCGGGTTATTATTTTCATTAACATGGCAAATACGTTTTAACATAATTTTTTTTCCAGAGGATATTTCAGAAACATTACAGTGGACTCGAGGAAGGAGCAAGAAGGCTCATTTTTGAAGGTCATGTCAATGACATCGTAAAGCACAATTTGGAGTTCGATCTTGGAATACACAAATACAGAAAAGGACTCAATGAATTTGCTGACCTGGTAAGTGCGACGACTAACTTCTAAAACCTTTATAATATGAGGAGATTTTGTAAACTAGACTATTGCAATTAGCAATAAATTTATTCAATGTTATACATTCTGAAGTGAAATTTCCATAGATGCGTTTTCCTATAATGGCCTTCCTTTCGTTATATAACGTTTAAAACAAATCCAAAATCAGAACATCAGAACTTGAAAATGAGAGCTATTTTGCAATACAGCAAAATTAATAAAGAAATTCAGGCTAGTGAGTAAAAACTAGTAACTTTATAATTAACTCTGGCTGAAAGTCAGATGAGATTATTTTACATGCACAAGTACTTAAATAAAATAAAATATCAACACATTTTATTAATTATTTTCTTGAAAATGCTGGCGTTGACTATTAAATTTAATCTTATGTAGAGACATTAGATATTTTTTTGGAAGCAGGCAAGATGAAAAATTAGCAACGTCTTCGCCGGAATCGAACCATGGACCTCTGGAATACCGGCCCAGGGTGCAGAATCTTTACACCACGAAGGCACGCCTAGAAGGTGGGAGAAATACCTCATATACTCCCCCTTTTAAAGGGCGGCTGGGGTTTTAGGGGACCCAGTCGCCAAATCCTGGGTGAGGAGAATCATCATATAACACCCTTCTTAGTTCGGGCGCCACTATAGAGACATTAGGTTAATTGGAAATGCCGGAGAGATGAAATATTAGCAATCGCATTCGCCGGGAATCGAGCCACGGACCTCTGGAATACCGCCCCAGCGTGCAGACCCACTACACCACGAAGGCACGCTAGGAAAGAGGGAGAAATAACTTATACTTAAATTAACAAGCTGTGATAAGATTATCTGAAACCGAAAAGGAGGGTAAGAAATGGGGTTTTGTTAGGATTAATTATTTGGATATTTTGTAATTAAAGAGTAAACATTTGTGTAAGGTAACTGCATATATTCTGGAATCTTTCCTTTTTAAATGTAAACTTATTTCCTTTTGCATTGATTTTCAGCCATAATTAATATACGTATAAAAACCCAAAGTATACAATTACAAATGGACACAGCATTAAAATTGCGAGGCAAAAACATGTGTTGTAACGTGGTTAGAAATATATGAGAATTTATAAATTCTGTAAAAGTTGTAAAAATAGAAGAAAACAAATAATATATATTATATTTTGAGAAAGCCATCCTGAAGAGAAAACTGGTTAATGTTGCCAACTGCTGTATCGTTGGGCCTGTATCGAATTTCGAAGAAGGCTGAGGTATAGTATCTTTACTGTATGGGGGTACTTAAAATACGTAGCGAACAGAAACTTCTCTTGAGGGTTTTGGTAGTAAGCGAAAAGGGATGGGAGACCGTTCGACTCCCGCGAATGATTCTTATTAAAACGTGGCGAATGATTTTTATAAAAAAGTCAATAATTTGGCAAAATCGTACTGACACCTATAAGGTGTCCTATCCTCATGCCAAAGCTAGACACAATTCCCTGCTCCCTCACACGATAAATTTCATTGTTTTTATCTACTGTTGCAACGTTAAAAATTGCAACGACAATAATATATCGTTAATATAATATATAGTTGATATCTATTATATAGTTTATATCATCTTATTAAAACTATATATTATATTATTTTAATAATATGATATATAGTTTGAATACGAATTAAGGATAAAATAAAGACTTCAGCTGCTACGTGTATTAATATCTATTTATCTATATATTTGACGTTGTATACTTATAATATTGCGTGTAGGTATATTAATACATACATGCTTTCAACTTTAAATACACACAAGGAAAAGTATTTGGCTCCGCTCTTACATACATGTCTAGACACATCATAGACACATCATACACAAAACTTTAATCTTCAGACAAATCGTTATACATATAAAAGTCTCTTATACATGCAAAGGTTTTACCTAAACTTTGGGAAGCCAATCGCAAATATATGGTGAGTCTTTGCTGTATAGTGATAGATTTGCTACGTCAATAAAATTCTAAAGCTTAATCTTATTTGATCTAATATTTTAAATTTATGATTTTTAAGTATGAAACCGATTTGTCGTGCCAGTTTGCTCTTTTCGCTTTGCTTTCAATAGGTTTAAGATGTTTTGATGGTGTTTCATACATCATTTTGCTGCTAGTTCTTTGTAATGTACTTGTACTGCTGTCAGTGATCCAAAACAGAGAAAGTATTACTACATGAATTACTCTTGATATTGTCACCTGATTACTATTGTCACAAATATTTCTTTCTGATCTTAAGTGCAGCGGAAAGTTAAAGCTTTAGAAATCCTCTGACGGGCATGAGGTTTCACTAAAAAAGATCAAATTTCGAAAAACTATCATGAGAAAGAGGCATTTTCTTAATTTTTCTGGCCAAATGCCCCTATAACTTGGATTTACGTGTTTTTGATATATTGCCTTAATTTCTTGGAAATACTTCAAAATTCATGTTTATATACGTTCTAAAAGACATCACAAGAAATATTCTAGGACGTACATGTATGGCCTTACCAGACATAGGGTTAAAATTATCTATGTGTTTTCTCTTCTTTGATCATGTATGGAAATTATTTACGTAGTTCCGAAAAGCATTTCATCAAGATTGGCCTTCTTAATGCAACATTCCTTTTATTTCTACAGTTAAAGTAAACTATCAGTGTTTTGGTTGATCAGAATAAATTGAAAAATCTCTCCGTACGAATTGTAACAATTTATAAAATATAAATTCATTAATTTTCACTCATTTAATATATATTTAAAAGTATATAACTTTAATCCTTCAAATAACTTCTTTATTACAAATTTAGCTTACCGATTAAAATTCCAATTTTTTTTTATTCCCTACAGAGCCATGAAGAATTTGTACAAACCATGAATGGATTTAAAGGAACAAAACTGAACGAATCCAGTTCTACATTTATTCCTCCCTCTAACGTTGATTTACCAGACACAGTAGACTGGAGGCAAGAAGGTCTTGTGACAGGAGTTAAAAACCAGGTAAGATATAACACATTAAAAGTGATGTTGCATATTCTTAGTTTGGAGAGCTTTGACACTTAAAAATCGTAAATAAATGGGTTTATGCTTAAAAATACTAAAATTATTTAAATGTAGGGTCACTGCGGATCTTGCTGGGCTTTCTCAGCAACAGGATCACTTGAAGGACAACATAAAAAGAAAACAGGGGAACTTGTTTCCTTGAGTGAACAGAATCTTATGGATTGTTCGAGACCTGAAGGTACAAACTTAGTGCTTTTTGGAATAATATTTATAATTATTATCATTTATAATTTATAATTATATATTACTGCTTGAATGAGAGCTTTTACATATGATGATGAAATTGAAAGAACTTCTATTTGGTTGCAGGTAACAAGGGTTGTGAAGGAGGCCTTATGAGTAGAGCGTTTAAATACATCAAGAAAAATGGCGGCATTGATACTGAGGAGTCTTACCCATACACTGCTGAGGTGAGAAGAGTCTAATGCATGAAAGAAATTACATATTAAGATTTAAAGCAGAAAGTGTTCTAAAATAACTTTCTGCATCATTCAATTCAATGATAGTTTTTTCTTCCATAAGATTACGACATTTTAGCTATTTATATTTATAAAATAAAGATGACTCCGTTTTTAAATTATAACCTCGAATTTATCTACTAGCATGAAAAATTAAGAATGTCATAAGTTTTTTACATTTAATCGAGCACATCAATTTTTCCAATCGGTACAATGCCATAATGACTATTGGGAAAATTATTTGTACTGACCAAGAAAGTATTCTGAAGAATGTAAAGATCTTTTATTCAAAAATGTATTCCAAATACAGTAGGGTAGAAGACACAAATATCAATGTAATAGATAGCAAGGAAGAAAAATTCTGTCTTTCACAAAGGATATGATCCTATTTGACTGCAATTCAGGATGTACTCCGTCTGTTTGTGCTCAGTGCAAGGTCATGATACGTACATAAGTACAAACTCAAATGAAGCATAAGTTAAAGGTATAAGCTCTTGTGATATCATGATTGTTTCCTCTTTTAGTGCCAAGACAGCTGGCTGGAGGTTCAGAATGTACTTCCAGGCGACTCTCGAGAAATCGGATTTGAACCCAGAGACCGTTGGCCCGATTCATAAGGCGAATATCTTCACTCTATAATAACTTATCAATTCTCGCTGTACAGTGAGGTCTAACGTTATCGTCTACGTAGAGGAACTCAGAACCCACACAATATCACGTAAAAAATGTCAGGAAGGAGAACATCGGTACGATAGCTATCACCAATAATTGAATTGGTTTAATAAAAATGCATTAATGATGCATCTACAAATGATAATTCCGTCATCTTCACATCTATACTTCTTGACATTGTTGGAAGAGTAATTACGTATTCCTTCCCCTCCATATATTAAATCCTTTCTTGTCGGTAAAGAACACTCGAATTCCTTGCTGAGCTTTCTCAGTCCTTGTATTCTTGGCATCACAAGAAAACGCTTCCTCTTATAAGTAAGTTTCAGTGGCACATACAGTGCTGGTTGATAAACCAAAGACCTTCTATGTACAGTTTCGTGGCCACAGTAGAACATGATATTGGACGTCCTGCGGTGCGGTGAATGCATTTTGCAATTTCACACCTGTCTGCCATAGATCTTTATTAACATATAGGATACGAAATAGTGCTCCATCGCCATGACTGTTTGTAGACGATCATTATTAAGTACCCAGACAGTTGTTTCAGTCGTTTAAAATGCTATCCAAGTTCTTATCTCGATGTCGCTTTCGATCCCAAACACCTCAGTTTTAGCTATACTTCAATCGTCTTCCAACTTGTCAATGATTCAAGCTTCTATAAAATAGTCTAGATGTTGTCTGCGAGACTGACCACTGGACATATCATACTGCGACAACAACTTGTTATCATTCAACTTGTTGTCATTAACAACAGATTTCACTAAAATCCCGATCCGCAATTCTTCTACTTTCTATCCTTTCCAGCCTTCCACAGTACACCACATTATGCATATACGCATGCCTTACCATATCACACTCTAATCTATACTTTGATCGACCTTTTGGTCTTTTCTACCTCCCCGTTCTACTAGTACATTAATTTCTTTTCAATCTTAATATGTGCTTACTTTTGCTTGAAGAACATTAATTTCATCATAATTTTAATATGCTACAGGAATAAGTGAACAGTATGCATTTAACTTTACAGAATAAAGTATCACTCTCACGAAAATTTTGTTCAAATATTTTCTTTCATTCTGAAGGACGGAACATGCGATTTCAAAATATCTAATGTAGGAGCAACTTGTACAGGATACGTTAAGATACCATCAGGTGACGAAAATGCCTTGCAAAACGCAGTTGCAACTGTTGGTCCTATTTCCGTCGCTATTGATGCAAGCCAGCGCAGTTTCCATCTCTACAGGTAAGCTATACCTTTTCAAGAATTTGAAACTTTTTTGGTATTGCTAGAAGAACGCATTTTTTAATGAAAAAAAAAATAAAATTTTTAATTAAGTCCTGTTATCTGAAAGAGAATGCTGCTTACCCATTCAAATATATTAATTGCTTTTGAAGGATATTTCGTAACATGAAATTAACTAAGGAAATGTTTTACGTGGAATTAAGTTTGTTAATTTACTTACAAATCATAACTTTTGCGAAGAATGCATATATTGCCATATAAATAATTTTTCAAATGGTATAAAAATAATTCTGGGTAATAATTGCTTCATTTTCATTAACTTTGTTAAATATATAATTTCATTCGTGTATAAATATTACAAATATTATACTTTTTCGTAATTGAAATACAGCCTCGTTCTTATGTTGCTGCCTTGCTAGAGAGCAAAATTCCTACAATGAAGGCTCAAAAATTACAATTCAATGAAAAATCCTTCTGTAAACTTAATTTCTGAGAAATATTGCGATAACTGTAATAATTTCAGTTTTATATCGATGTAGAGGAAAGTGCTTTGGGTTATTCATCGGTATTTCTAAAATAACCCTAAAATTATTTTATAATATATTTTATTACATCTCAATAACGTAAAAAATCTAAATAAACGAACTAATTACTAAATATTGTGAAATGTGTTATGGTAAAATACTCATATTTTCTGTTTCAGCAAAAACTAATAATTTCCATTTGAAATGTTAAAATACACGTATAAGTACTTTAATCTAATTTATTGCATAAACTTTCTAATTCGTCTTTAGTGGTGGCATATATGATGAACCAAATTGCAGCAGTCAGTTGCTTGATCACGGTGTTTTAGCCATAGGATATGGTACCGAAGACGGAACCGATTACTGGTTGGTAAAAAACAGGTAAGTCCTTAAGCAAAATCATTCTCCAAACATGTTTTCGAAACATATTAATTGTTTTTTCTGAAGCTTTAATTCATTTTCCCTAGATGAGTTCTGAATTGGAGTTTCAGTAAAAGGAGATTTCCCTTTCGCACTTTTATTTTTTCAATTTGTTCTACTTTGCATTCTTATTCTAATTTTGATTGGTTTAAATATTGTGGTAAACCTCTTATGCACGGTTGCAATTATTAATATTGTTGAGGAGTTGCCTTGCTTTCATTCCAATTTAATATTAACTTTAGATGCTTTAAGTTTATATATATATATATATGATGGGTGTGTGTGTGTGTATGTAAGATGTAACAAAATACTGTAATAGCTGCTTTAAAAAATAATTGGCGAACTCAAAATTAACATTCTAGATGTGGTGCTGTCCCCCTAAATTCGTCTGTTCTCCCTAATTCGAGATCTTTTTATCGTTATGTAACATCGCTTGAAAAGGGCAACCAAAACTAATATTATCCAACCATAACTTGTCTCTAGAATCGCACACTCTGGCAAAAATACCGCTGGCAGTTTAATTACGTCATTCTTATTCTGCTAGCTTCCACCCGACTAATATCTCACCGCTTTGATTCCTCGTCTAAAATGCCTGCCTCTTAATTTTAAAAACCAATGTACACTGTTCAAAAAAAAAAAAAAAAAAAGTGGGCAGTTTTATATCTCTCGTTCTACTGGGCTGATTGATGGAATTCAGATTGCTTTTTTCATGTCTCGAAAGCGTGACTTGATATATATTAGATTTATATAGAGCATTGTTCTAACATAGGTATTTTGACACAAATGCGGACTTTTTCTGAAATGACATACCACGTTTTTCCATATTTCGATTCTACGACTCAAATGATTCCAAACTGCCAAGTTCTGTAAAAATCGCCCGAGTAGTTAAAAATTAGCTCACAAATTTTTAGCTTCTTAGTGTTAATTCTATTTGGTATGTTATTTATTAATATCTCTTTTTTTATTACACTTACTTGATCTCTTCTTTCACAGTTCGAAATTTAGGTTCATTTTAAATAAAATTCCCCCTTTTTTATCATTTATTTTAAAAATTTGTACATTTAAATAATTTTTATAACTTTTTAGAAAAAGTTTTGAATTCTTAAAGTAGATGTATTTTTAAGCATACCTGCAAAAAATTAGACCTTTTTATTCCAAATTTTCGAAGATATACGTGAATTTATATATTGGCGCGTTTTGAAATTTGGCATATTTGTTGAAAGCGATAATAACATCTAATATGGTTTACGCACTTTTTTGAAATTATTTGAAAGTTGCAAAGTTCTGACTTTTTTCCCGATCATGCACAATATAAAAAGATGGAGAAAAAGATGGTGACTTTCTTCCGCTTGTGCACAATGGAAGGGTTAGGAAAATAGGTTGCCACGTATTAGGAAGTTCGCGAAAATGCGCCAAGCTAAATTTTTGAATTTTGCCATAAATTTCGCACCAAATTTTACAAAATTTAATATTTAGGCATAATTTGAGTCGTAGAATCGAAATATAGAAAACAAATTGGTATGTTATTTCAAAAAAGGTCCATTTTGTGTTAAAATACCTATGTTAGAATAATGCTATATATAATCAATATCCTAAATTATGTTTCGTATTATTTACAATACTAATTAATTATGTTTCATATATCCTAAATTGTGTTTTCGAGATATGAAAAACGCAATTTGAATTTCGTCAATCGGCCCAGTAGAACGGGAGCTATAGAATAGCCCCCCTTTTTTAGCAGTGTACATAGCAGATTATCATATTTCATTATGATTGAATCATAGAAATGCATCGGATTTCATTCTAATTGGATAAATATCTATGGAAATGATTTTTATATGTGTGGAAATAAAGACTGGAAATTCTTCAATTTCATGTTTTGCTATCTTCATCTGTAAGACTTCAGCATAAGCCACAACGACTGCGAGCTGATTCCTCTTATATTACATATGTATATTTAACTCTACTATATATATATGCAATGCGGCATTTTCTTTTTTGTTTCCGATTTTTGAGATATTGATTTATTTTATAGTATGTATATGTGCGTATGAAATATATATGTAGAAATTTAGAACCAAATCCACAAAAACATGAAATTGAACGGATAAAATTCAAATTTCCTCATAAATGATAAATATCTAAAACGCATTTAAAAGGGAGAGCCTACATGATGTTTTTCCTCCTTCCAGCATGCCTTAATGATGTAAAGGTAGCCCACTAGGTGTGTATTCGACAGGTCCAGGTTTGAGTCCCGGCATAGGCATGGCACATTTTTCGTATCTCGTTCAAAATGATCTAATGACTCTTTAACTTACAACATCACAACTGAGGCATGAGCAACTGAGGTACCTGAATGGCATGAGCTCTTAAAATTTATATTAATTGTTGGTTTTGTTATTGCTCGAGCATGCAAAGGTAAACAATAGAGTTCTAAAAAAATTATATAAAAACATCTATCAAATTTTTTCAAGATAGCAGGATTTATACCAAGTGAAAATTTTATTGCATATTTGAAAGCTTCTGACTACGTCAATACTTCGCAAATATAATTAAGGCGTTTAGAATCAACATTTCCAACCGTATATTATTGAATTAATTATTTTAATTAATGCAGTTTTCTAGAAGTGTAAAAAAAGCAACACGATGAACAAAGAAAGCAACATGCTTGAGTGCAAGAGAATTTTGTTTTCTGGATAGCTAATTTTAGCTTAACCTTGTGCTATGAAGCTATGAAGCTATGAAGTTTCAGAAAGTTAGTTATTAGTTAAGCTATGAAGATTCAGAAAATTTATAACATTAATAAGGAAAGGAATTCATAATTTGAAAATTTTTAAAATAACTTTGTATTAGAATGCTTATTTAAAGAACATGCAGCCAATTAAAAAATTGACTTTTTTTTATATGAATTTGAAGTTCGAAGCACCAACGTACTTCTTGTGATTTACGACAGCTATTATGATTACTTGATTATTTTTGGTTAAATAGCTAAATGAAGTTTAATGATTATATCTTTTTCAGTTGGGGAATTTCCTGGGGTGAGAATGGCTACATCAAGATGTCGAGGAATAAGAATAACCAGTGCGGTATTGCCACTAAAGCCAGTTATCCATTGGTGTGAATTTTCAGTAATCATTAGGTGCTCTGAATATGAACTTTCACATATTTATAACTCATTTTCAAGCAGAAGTTTAAGAAATTTTCATTTCTTAGCCGCTTTTGAAAAATATCGATATTTTATAGTAATTTAATCAATATATTTCTTAAATTTATGTTGTATTTTAATACGAATAAAAACAGTATTTTGATGATATGTTTTCATATTTATTTTTAACTCAAATTTTCAGTTCCTCGCATTCCACAAAGTATATCACGAGGCTTACACAAGTAAATTATATCACTAATAAAATAAATAAACAAATGTGCAATAGGCACTGCAAATTGGGGAATGCATAGATGTGCGTTTTTTCACTTATAGACACAGACAATTAAAACACGTTTTCGAGACGGCCAGACACGTTTTCGAGACACGTTCGAAAACGGCCAGACACGTTTTCGAGAGCATTTGGGATAGCTCAAGTTTGGAGTAAAAATATTTAAAAACAGAATATCTTTAGAATTTCCGATCGATAATCTCGAGCGCTGGAGATAAAAATGTTTTATTGCCTACAGTGTTGCTCGCTTTCAAATTGTTGAGTTTCAAATAAAAAATTCGTTAACTTTTTACAAAATATAAACTATACAATAAAACAGTATCCAAATTCGAGCTTTCAGGTGTCCATGTTCGGGTAGAGGATTATGTTATTCAAAATTTGATGACTCTAGGTACCGTTGTTTTTCCACGTCACAAGCATGCACACATTCATGCAAATGCTTCATTAATTAGTTTCTTTAAATGTAATATAGGGCGATAATATTTAGTGGCAAAAATTTGAAAAGTGATACATCGCATTTAAGTGATTCAACACAAAATGCTGTTTCAAGAATATTAGCCCTTCTGGACTAACACCCCTTTGGGCTTATAAAAAATAAGTAAAAGAAAAATAGCTTAAAGTAACGGAACAAATGCATTAATTAGTTTAATTAAGTACTTTCTTTAAATGTAATACAGGGCGATAATATTTAGTGGCAACACTTTGAAAAGGGATACATGGCATTTAAGTGATTCAACACAAAATGCCATTTTAAGGCTATTAGGCCTTCTGGACTAACGCCCCTTTGGGTTAATAAAAAATAAGTAACAGAAAAAAAAAATAAAACTTAAAGTAATGAACAAAAGAAAATACGTTTTCATATTGCTGTTTATTTTTAGCTGGCAGAAGACTAGCTTTATTCCTCTCTAATCAAATTATCTAAAGTAAGAGTCTATTTGAATGGAATAAAACAAATTTTCACGTTGAATGCGCGGCATGAAAAGTAATAGCAGCTATCAGTTTCTTGAATTAGCGACAGAAAGAAATGATAAGCAAATATGTATTTAAAATACTCTTATCTTAATTTAAAAAGAAAGTGATAAGCCTGATTACACTTAACGAGAAAATCAGCGGCAGCGGCGATAACAAAGACTTGTACGAAACTAAATTACTGCTAACCTCCTAAAGTAATACGCGAACTTTTCTTGCTTCGATCTCTTTTAAAAGAATTGTTTGCTTCATCGGCCACTTTACATCGTTCTCTGCAATATGCAGAATGCAGCATAATGATAATAAAACAAATTATTAGCACATACATAACTTAAAGACAACAATTAGAATATGAACAAAAGTTTTGGAAACAAGAGTTTATTAAACTTAATGTTTTATTATTTTTCGTGTTATGACTGTTTTTAATTTTACAAATATAACAAAATATCAAACACAGAAATCACAGATTCTAATTGGCCAAAAATTGGATTTTAATGAATGTGATGGCTGCGCTTGATGTATTGATGCAAAATTTTAAATATTTTATATAAAATTGCCTTACTTAATTTTTAAATCACCTGGTTCAGATATATTCAGCCTATTTCTTATTTTCCGTAGTAAGTTATTGACTTAACTAAATCCTGCTTACACTAGATAAGAAAAGAAAAAAATCATCAATGTTGGACCGGTAGCAACTTCAACTTTAGGATATTTCTCTCAGATAAATTTTAAATTCCAAACCTTAGGGCCCCCATATACTATCAATAAATAATTAATCATAAAATTTTATTAATATATTTTTTGTGATCAATAGGATCTTGATTATGCCGATCAGACGCGTCGTCGACTATCGAGCTTAATCTACCCCTCGATCATCATAGAACCTCTTTAAAATTTCGTCTACCATCACAGTGTTCATGGTATTGGGAACCCCTTACCCAGACCTTAAATGATTTAGATGATGCTTTTCTTCATAGGAAATACTAAAAATTCTAACCATATAAAATGTAGTTATTATTAATACATATAAACGTCTTCAAAATATGTAATAATTCATACAATACTAATAAACGTCAATTTTACTTAACTTTATAGTATGCATCATGTCCACAAACGTCTTACCCTGCCTTTAAGCTCAAAAACGTTGATCGTACACAACCGGGTACGAAAATGTTTGAAATCATGCAAATACTCATAATTTTGGCCTTTTTAAGCTTAAAACGGAAAAAAAATCAGTTTTCCAAAAATTACGCAATATAACATTTTATATGTTACCGGGTCCCTATATTTTTAATTAGGAAAATTTCGTTCTCATTATAAAAAAATAAAAAATTAAAAGCTTGACTTCCGTACGACAAACATTGAACATTATATTTAATTCCAAAATTTGGGATATTTGATGTAATTTTCCCTTTGTCTTGAAGGAGCAGTTAAAAAATAAATTCCAATGAACCCAGCTTGATTTTTGTTCCTTAAATACCAACGAATGATATTCGTTTTTGATTTACTAGTCTGTAACCCGCCTTAATTTATAATTTTGTCACGATTCGTAAGCCAAAAAAATTTCGTTTGAGTAATTTATGCGTTTCTAAACTCTAAAAATGTGCATTTAATATTCGCATAAAGATTTATTGCTTTAGAATAATATGTATAAAAATGCTCTAATTCTTAATATATGCAAATAAGATTGCAAGTTGATGTTATAATATTGAAGCTTACCAATGCGTTCTACAGCAAAAATTCTATAATATTCTGTGAGCAAAATCTCCTTTTTGAATCAATTTATAATGATTAACACATTTCACAACAATCTGCATAGAAATAGTTGTGACGTAAAACCAGAAAATTTTTCTTAGCGAACTTTTAGTTTTATTTAGGTACAAGTACAAAAATTTCGCTCTTCAAGCTATATGCAACCCTTTTATATGATCTCAAACTTTAAAATTAAATATCTCAATTATAGTCCATTTTTGTTACCACCCGTGCGGAAGTTTTATTCGAAAATTTGTATTTTATTGTTTATAATGTATATGAAACTTTCCTATATGTAAGTATGGAGAACGGGGAACGCATGAAAAGTTAAATTTCGTAATTGTTCCAAAATTCGAACGTTTAGTTTAAAATTGCATAAGATGAGTATTTACGTTATTAAAAACATTTTGTATTATAAGTATCTGTCTACTACAACTTATTACCATAATAAAAGCCGAGTATGGACTTTTGTATGCGCGGTATGTAATATATTTGTTCGAGAATAGAATTTTTTGAACTTAACCGTTTAGGGCAAATATGTTATTTCTTATTTGCATTTTCAGAAACAAATTTACAAAAAAAAAAAAAAAAAAAAAAACATTTAAATCTAATTTTCATATTTTATATAAATGTAATCTAAAACACTGCAAAGGAAAAATCATTTACCACGTAAACTCAGGAATCGTTTGAAGATTACAAGAATTTAACACGCTCACTGATTTCTATGTAAGCGAATTTACAGGACAAAGTCATTTAATAGATACACACACACACACACACACACACACACACACACACACACACACACAAAAAAAAAAAAAAAAGCCATATTACACAATGCTTCTGAAGTAAAGTAAATCCATGAAATCAAAAATTATTTTTTTTTTTATCTGATAACAATATCAGCTACCAAAAATTTAATAAAAAGTTTTAAAAATTATGATAACATGATTACATTGTGATAATATGATAAAAATTATGAGAAGTATTATATGCGTATAATTTGGTAACTATAGGCTTAGTGGTGTATTTCAGAGGATAAATTTTGTGAAACGCCCCTTTATGCAGTCACAAGACAACACGTGTGAGGACAGGAATTGAAGGAAGCAAGGTATGCAGAGGAGAAAACTTGTGAGAAAAGAAGTTAAAGAAAAAGGAAAGAATATATATTTCTCTTTTCCCTCACCAGAGAAACAGCGCAGCAAAAGTCGCAATCGATGGCATCACCAGTCGGATAGACGCTTTACTGTCTTTTATCGATTCCGAAATTTGAATGCGACATTTGGTTGCTTCAGGGAGGGGGGCCTCGACGAAATGATTCTCTGTCTCTTCTCCTTTGCCAAATTATTTTTGTGCATTTTTTAAAGTCTTTTTCTCCGGTTCTTTTAGCTTTGTTGACCCGGCATCTAAATTTTAGAAATTTTTGACTTTTATAAAAGAAATGCTGTTTTTCAATTTCCAGGAGTTGAAGATTTATATGCCTAAAGGGTTGTCCCTTTACAAATTGTTCTACAAGATCTTAGCCCTTGTGATTGATAAAGGCATAGCATTTTTCTAAAATACCTAAAAGAAATTTTCTTCGACATGTCATAAAAGCTAATCCTTTCGAGCGGCCACTTGAGAGAAATATGTCTGTAATTAAATGTATAAGAAGATAATATATGCAATTAAATGAATGAATTTGACTAATGTTTTTACATCCCCTAATTTCTCGTCATCGATCCCCTCAATACTACTAAATCTTTCAGAATTTCCCATATGATAACTACTATTTCTATACTTTAATATTACAGATTTTTATATTTGCTAATTCGTTTATTCATTTATTCATCGTAATATTTACTGTACTGTTATACATAAAATTTATACTTTATTAGAAGCTATATAATTACATAATAATGTAGAGATGATTAAAATAAAATGGAATAAGGGTATGCACAGGCTGTATGCACAGCATTACTGCATTACAAGTTACGAGTTCTCAAAATGTATTATATCAACATTATACGTCTTTCGCTGGATTTGACATTGGAATTGTTCATATTATATATGATGAAAATTTACGTAATATTATCCATAACTTGCTTCTGCAATTTAATATTAAAATATCTGATAGGGACATCAGATGAATTCCTTGCACGACTTATCAAATTATG